CCCGCAAGGCGTTTTCCTGTGAAACACGGTGACGGAGGGGAACCTGTGAGGGCCCCGGCAAGCGCCCCTGAGCCAGGTGCGCGCCGGCCTCCTGCAGGTCCGCAGGTGCCGAAATTCCTGCGCGCTACACTGACTTAGATGTGCGTGTTTTCAACGATGACAAAGTGAGAATAAGTGGAACTTTAAGAACTAAACAGAATAAACGAGATGAAAATGTAACAAAGAATCAAGACAAAAATGACGTAAAAAAGCAGAATTGTGTAGAATTAGAAGTGGAATATACTCCCCACTAAAATTCAGATGCAACTCTTCGATCCTCGGCTTTCACAATGTCAACCCAGTCATGACGCGATGGGGCAGAGAAGCCCCCAAGCAGCGGCTGAGTTGTGGCTCTGAGCTGTGCAGCACACGCCTGCCCGAGGGGCCGCTGGAACTGTGCGTCTTTGGGACTGCAGGGCGTCTGCGTTTATTTTAGATCCCTTTCAAGCACAGGCCACCCTGGGCCCTAAACGTCCAAAGCACGGCTGTGAGGGGCCCCTGGGGGCGCAGCGGGTGAAGGAGCGGCGCGGGGAGCTGCCGCAACGCCGCAGCCAGAGCCCACGCCTGGCCAGGGCGGGCCCCAGGGCGCAGCAGACCTCTCCTGTCTCCCCGCTCAGCGGTAGATTTCAGTGGATCCGCCTGTTCTGCTCCCCACTCTGTCTCTGGCCATGTTTTTGAAAAAAAGGTTCATTTACTGATGTACACAGAACTGGGGTACAGGCCAGAGGCGCAGGGAGGTGAGAAGACGCCCCAGAGACAGAGTGGGGAGCAGAACAGGCAGCTGGATGAAGCACACTGCTGAGGGGGCAGCGGGGAGACAGGAGGGGTCTGCCGCACCCTGGGGGTCCCTCCCTGGCCAGGGATGGGCTTGCTCTGAAGTGACTATGGCTGGCTGCAGTACTGGGCTCCACCCCGCTGCGCTTACCAGGGAGGGCCCTGGCCATATTTTAAAGATTTAGTTCTACTGATACAAACAAGAACTGGGGTGGAGGCCAGAGGGGGGATGCAGTGAGAGGAAGCCCCAGAGACAGCGTGGGGAGCAGGACAGGCCGGTCCACTGAAATTCACTGCTGAGCGCGCCGTGGGGGACAGGCGGGGTCTGCTGCGGCCCAAGGGTCACTCCCTGGGGGACGACAGACTCTGGCCACAGTGGCCAAAAGCAGAGGCCGAACACAGCTGCTTGGCGCCAACCTAACTCCACCATGTTTTCTAGGCGAAAATAGAATACAAGTGGGAGTCATAGCAATAAACTGCACCGAAGTTGTTTTTACTGTTGTTTTATTCCTCCTGCTCACTCCCCTCCTAAAGCCGCACAGGTCGAACAAAATAAAATTTTGTCCAAGCAGCAAATGCACTCGCCAGAGCCTGGACGCCCAGGTCGGGTCGGACCCGGGAACGGGGCAGGCTCTGCGCTGCCCCTAGGACATGGAGGTGCTGCTTGAGCACGGAGCAGACCCGGGCCTGAGGGACAGGAGCGGCCGCACCGCGCTGCACAGGGCGGCTGCCGTGGGACACCTGCCCGCAGTGCAGCTGCTGGGGGCCCGGGGTGCCGACCCCGACGCTCGCGACGCGCTGGGCCTCACGCCCCTGCACCACGCTGCCCGGGGAGGCCACTTGGAGGTCGCTGGCCATCTTCTGGACAGGGGTGCACAGGTCAATGCGGCTGGCTGGCTCCTCCAGACCCCCCTGCACCTGGCCACCGAGCGCGGACACAGCCCCACCGCGGAGCTGCTGCTGAACCGGGGAGCCAGCCCCACCCTGAGGACGCAATGGGGCGCGGGGGCCCAGGCCCCGGCGTCCGGGGGCCGCTGATGCTGCCTGCCTCAGTGGAGGGGGGAGGGTGGCGCCCCAGCCCTGTGAGAGCGTCCCTGGCCGCAGCGCTGTCCTGTGCGGGAGGGCAGGGACGGTGCAGCTCGGGGGCCGGGTGCTGCCCACAGAACCTTTGGGTCCTCTTGGCACTGTCCACTCTGACAGGGAGGAAAGGCCGCTGAAGCCAGCGGGCTGCCCTTCCTCTGGCCCCATGAGGGGTGCTCATGCTGACTGCTACCGGCTTCTGGAAATTGGGTAACACCAGAGACATCTCAGACATCTCCTTCCAGGGTGGAGACGGGACGGAGCCCCCACCCCGCTTCCTCCTCCTACCCAGGCCAGCTGCCGGTGCCCTGCAGTGGCTGGAACAGCCCCCTCAGCCTGTGGGGCCCAGCTTGTAGCCCCTCAGGGTCTCCCACCTGCAAGCCTGCTTGGGCACTGCTGAGTCCTGCTGCTGATTGGACCGGCTGGCACCGGCCACTCTCGGCTCGCACCGGGTCGGTCCATTTCATGACCCAGCATCTCTCTGTCACACACACAAAGGAGGTCGCCGGGCCCAAGGCAAAGAGGCAGAGCCAGCCGGGAGCCAGCCGGGAGCCAGCGGGGGCCAGCGGGGGCCAGCGGGGGCCGCAGGCGAGGAGTCACAGCCGCCTCCCGGTGGCTGGTTCCCAGGCCGGTGGGCACAGTGAGACGGCCACTTCGAGCCATCGGCTTCCGGGGCCATCTGAGGCAGCCAGGCGACGGGAACAGCAAGGTGTCGCGGGCTGGCCTCGGGCCTGCTCGGGGGCAGGAGTCTGCTGGGAGCCTGCAGGGCCGGCCGCGCACACCAGGGAAAGCCTCCTCCCCGCTGGGTGGACGCCGGTGGGTCCGGAGGGAAGGGCGCAGTCAGAGCCCCCCGCGGGTGCTGGTGGGCGCCTGCAGGCTGGAGGGACAAGATGACGTCCCCTGCCGGGCAGTCGGCCCAGCCGGCGATGCCCCGCAGCCCGGGAGGGCAG